GCTGCTTGATATTAAGACTTCAGTTACCAACTTCGGCACCGATATAAGAAGCGGTTTTCATTCGCACTACTCTTCGTTCCGGATGAATATTCTGGAGCATCTACGCCAGCGGCCTATTGCTACTCCGCAAGAAACGTCGCCGAAGACGTGGTAAACGTGGAGGCATCGCTATTCGACTAAAAGCTGGAATGGTTACTTCTACCTGCTGTCTTGCACGGAGTGTATGGGATGTACCTCTTCGCCGTCGTTGGATTCGGCCTATTGTCCCCAGCTCAGTCGATTCGCCTATGTTCTGTCTGCTTCCACGGATTTGCCAGGACGGAGTGCACCTTCAGTTTTTTCTCTGTCTGTATTGGAAAACACACTTCCTCAGTTGCTCATCTTCCTTGTGGTGTTCCGCAGGGATCTATTCTGGCTCCAACACTGTTCTCCTTATACTTGCTGCCATTGGGTTCCATCTTTTCCAAATATGGAGTATCTTTCCACCTATATGCCGATGACACCCAATTATACCTTCCTCTTAAACATAATGATTCAAGTTCCATAGAGGTTCTGCTAGCTTGTTTACATGAAGTTAAAATGTGGCTTACACAGAATTTCTTAGCCTTAAATGAGAATAAAACCGAAGTTATGCTGTTTGGTCCAAGTGATTCCTATGATTTTGGTGATCTGGACCTTGGCGACTTGCGACTTAAGGTTACTCCATGTGCGAAAAATGTAGGTGTGTTGTTTGATTCAGGTCTCAAGTTCGATAAACGATAAACTTCTGTTGTTAAATCCTGTTTTTATCATTTACGACGTCTCGCAAAAGTCAAACCTGTTCTTTCTTTAAAGAACTTTGAAAAAGTTATCCATGCATTTATTACTTCACGCCTTGATTATTGCAATTCACTTTATTATGGTGCAAATCAATCATCCATCGGGCGTCTTCAAATGGTACAAAATGCTGCAGCCAGGCTGCTGACTGACAGTCGAAAATTTGATCATATCTCTCCCATCTTAACTTCTCTGCATTGGCTACCAGTCAAACTGAGAATAGATTTTAAAATTCTAGTTTTTGTTTTTAAAGCATTACATGGCCTAGCACCAGCGTATCTTTCTGACATTTTACATTATCACAATCCTTCTAGGTCACTTAGATCAGGCAGCCTTGGATTGCTCTCTGTGTGTAGATCGAGGTTAAAACATCGTGGAGACCGAGCTTTTGCGACAGTAGGCCCCAAACTCTGGAACAGCCTACCGTTTCGATCCGAATGGTGTCATCACTTTCCTCTTTCAAATCAAAACTTAAAACACATTTGCTTAGTATGGATTTCTAATTTATTATTATTATTATTTTTATTTTTATTTTTTTGAGATATTATCATTTGTATCTTTATTTGACTTCTATTATCTGTACAGCACTTTGGTCAACCCTGGGTTGTTTTTAAATGTGCTTTATAAATAAATAATGAATGAATGAATGAATTAATTAATTGTCATATTAAAAATTTAAAAGATTGGATGACCAATAATTTTCTCCTATTAAATTTGGATAAGACAGAGATATTACTTATTG